ATAATATTATATTACTTTAACTATACTATAATTTTATATATGTTATATCTAGTCGATTTGTTGTTTTTACGGTTGATTTAATTATCATTTAGATAAATTGGATTGCATCTATGAACTTAAATGTAATATTTTTAAAAATATATTAATTTTTAATTAATTACTTATTTTCATATAGTGGGTGTTGTCTTAGATATGTAAATATAATTTAGAAAAATTAACTAAAGTGTATGATTCCAAAATATGTAAATTAATATAACAATAATATACTAAAGTCTTATGCATATATATAAATTTTACAAAAGAACTAAAAGTGTAAGAGTTGGTTATTATTTATTTTCATTTTTAATATGTTTTGAATTATCCTATGATCAATAGAAGGTTACATGCATAAATAGTTGATACATTTTTGGAAGTTCATGAACATATATCAATATTTATAATAATTAAAATATTTATAAATTCTAAATAATTTTATGCTTTAGATTTATTGAATGAAAAATGAAATTTATTATAAATGATTTTAAAATTGGGAATTCATATTTGCTTTGGTATCTTGATTATCATTATATTTAGTTTCACAAACATAAAAACATAAAATTTAAAAGAAAATCTATTATTAAGAAAAAAAATAATTTTAATAATGATAAAATATCATATATCTAGCTCATTAAACTAATTGTTAATTATTCGATCAAGCGATGTTTATTGTTAAATTTATTTTTAGTTTTTAATATCTCTTAAAAATAAGCATTACACAAAATTGTGATTGTATTTGAAAACAAAATTATATAAGTAAAATATAATTTATAGATAATTTTCTGTAATTGAAAGATATTATAGCCAACTAAATATATGAAAAATAAATAAAAAATCAATAATACTAATTATAAATTATTTTTATTACTNTTTCTGTAATTGAAAGATATTATAGCCAACTAAATATATGAAAAATAAATAAAAAATCAATAATACTAATTATAAATTATTTTTATTACTCTAAAAGTATATTTTATGTTATTTAAAAATATTTTTAAATGTATTATTACTATTTTGTTAACTTTCCTTTTTTTATGAAATCATAATATATACATATATTTTCGTTTTTGAATTTGTTATATGACATTATAAAAAATTTCCTTTTTATTACATATATTTTTGGAAAGTTTTGAAAAGGAAACTAAACAAAAAAAATTAATAATATTATTTTTTAATTATTTTTAATTCATTAAGGGTATCAGTGTAATCAACCATCACGAGAATGAATGTGAGAGCGACACATAAGAAACTGACTTCTCAAATAATATTATAGAGATTACCATTTCAATCTTCATTACATTAAATTTATTTGATATTTGGTATTGTTATCATAATTGTATGTTTAATATTTCACGAGAGAAGCTCACTAGGGCTTGGATTCTAGTTTCTTAGACCGAACTTCCACCGGTTCTAAATGCGCTCCTATAGTGTTGAGGAGATCGTCAGAAGACCTTCCACGGAACCCAACTATCTTAATCCGTTTTCCCTAAGGGAAAACTCTTTTCCAAGCCAGCTGACCATCGAATAGATCAAAAGGTCGACATTTAGAGATCATGATCGATCGATGCATACTTCGTGAAATTGATCGATGGGCGTAAAATGCAGAGATATGATTTTGGTCTAGACGGTTTAAAGTCCAAATTTCACCAAACCACGATATTATCCTTGACGAGTTTAACCTAAGTATTAATAATTTTGCCAAGTATTACCGACACAGTCTACTTTTTCATATTTTTGTTTTCATACCTAAAATAGTTAGAGAGAATTGTGAAGTGAGCTACCTAAAGGAAAGAAAGCTGTGATAACCAGATGGATCTTCACCATAAAGTATAAAGCTGATGGAACCATTGATAGAAAAAAACACAGATTAGTAGTAAGAAGTTTCACTCAAACCTATGGTGAGGATTACATAGACACCCTTGTTCATGTGGTCAATATTTCGAAACAGTAAGGAAAGTTTCTCTCGTAGAATCACAAGGTTGTAACGTGTGATGTAGTTCAAAAATTAGGTTTAGGGTTTTGATGTCGTGTATAAGAAAAAATGTGTAAGAAGTAAGTTTATTAATGATTTCGTATAAAAGAGGTATCTGACTGATAATACAAGTATAATTTAAGTACAATTTACGGAGGGTAACTAAGAACAAGAACGGGTATTTCAAAAAAAAACAAGAAGAAAAAAAACAAAAATAAGAACTTATGTATGTATCTATGTATGTATGTATGAAGTATATATATTCTTGGACCACTAATACAAGAAATCTATTCATGAAAAGGCATGATTTGTGTTAGAACTGTCATTGCATTATTGCTCCCGTTGAAACTTACTAATATATATTATTGACAACATTCTGAACATTTATAATAAGTCCGTCCATTTGGCATAGATATTTATAACAAATATAAATGAAGCCATACAGTTTTCTTCATGTGAGATTATGCGTAGACTTAATAATGCTTTTGAAAAATAATGAGACTAAATGATAATCCGCGTTATGTGCAGAATGCGATTTTAAAAATATATTGTATTTAAATACATATTTATTATCAGTAATTTTTTTTACATTTGATTAGGGATGAGCATTCGGGTGCCATTTGGTTCGGTTAGATTATGTTTAGTTTAGATTTTTGCGGGTTTAGTTCGAATCTTCGCAGATTCGATTTAGGTTTAGGTTCAGATAACCCATTTATTTTCTAAAAAAATATTAAAGTTCATATATACTTTAAATTTCTCAAAATCTAAAAATAAAAATAACATATAACATATAAATTTGAAAAATGAAAATCAAAATACTTAAACTTAACAAAAAATGATTTATCTTAAATATTTAGACAAAAAATCAATAAATATTTTAAGTATTTTTGGAATTTGAAATATCAATTATCTATTTGAAAAATATACATTTAACTATTTATATATTTATAAGTACTTTGGAAAATTTTAAAACATCGTATGTATTTTGGATATTCTTAGATGTTAAATTTAAAAATAATTAATACATTTAAGTATATAAATCTGGTTCGAGTACACTCGGATACCCGAAGTATTCCGGTTCTATAGATACCAAAATTTTAAATCCATTTGGATATCTAACGAATTTTGGTTAAAGATCTATACTACTTTTCGGATTAGATTTGGTTCGGTTATTTGAATTTAGTTTTTTTTTTCAACTCTATATTTTTTATTGTAACAAAATTTAAACGAAGGGATGATGATTCATATTGATTTTGGGTATGCAATAATTTTTAAGCTAAAACACACTCTATTATGTACGTGATCTATTTTCTTAATCATTTAAAATTATTTAAGACCAATTAAAAACCATTGGTTGAACTAAAACGTTACCACTAATCACAAAATTTTCAGTGTGAGATTTTTACCATTTTAAATTATTTATGGTCATTCTGAATAAATAAAAATATAACATATAAGAAAAAATCTAAATTTTTTTATTATATGATTAATGTGATTGTTTAGTTTCTTTTAATAATATAAAATTAAATAAAAAGTAACGAGGAAAAAAGTTGTTATCAAATCTTTATAATTCATAATCATTAATTGTGATATATATGTTAATCATATTAGGTAATTTTGTAGTTTTTATTTAAGAGAATAATATATAATATTCTTTTCTACACTACTAATTAAATATGATACTTAGTTTAATAAAAACTAGATTTTAACTTGCACGGTTGCGCGAAATTATTTATAATTTATGTTTTTAAATTATATTTTTATGATTAATGATATTTTAAAACTTCAGTTTGTGCTGATATTGTAGTTATTAATTTTTTTGTTTGATTCTGATTCAGAAATTTTGGTTTTTGGTTTCTAAGATATATTAATAGTTTAGTTATTTATGAATAGGTATTTAGTTTTCAATTTTTTTTTAGTTTGAAACATTCTTAGATACTATATTAATTTTTACATAATTTAATTAGAATATTTTCAATATATTTATTTTTTTATTTGAAATACAAATGAATGTTTTCAATTGTTTAGTTTCTTTTAATAATATAAAATTAAATAAAAAGTAAAGAGGAAAAAAAGTTGTTATTAAATCTTTATAATTCATAATCATTAGTTATGATATATATGTTAATCATATTAGGTAATTCCGTAACTTTAATTTAAGTAAAGAATATAAAATATTTTTTTATACATTACTAAATAAATATGATATTTAGCTTAAGAAAATATAGCATATGTTTAGTTGAACCAACATATTACTTTAAGAATTCTAAAAATCATTGTCATTATGACATGTGTCTATCAAAAAAAAAATTTTAATGCTCTAAGATTAATATATAAAAGTATAAGTCCGCCCAATGAAACATAATTCGTTGAAAGATAATATATGTTCACGTCGTGGACCTATCCTGAAGGAATAAAGAACAATCATTCCATTCTATTTGAACATTAAACAACAAACAAACAAACTTTTTAGCAAAAAAAAAACAACAAACAAAACGATTTCCTTTTTTTTTTTTTTTTTGTCACGGCTCACACTGCTATTGATATTAATCTGTATTAGGCCTAGTCTGTATCATCTTTGAGTCTGTATCATCTTTGAACCTGCATATTCCACATAAACATTTATAGATGTTGTATATAAAGATTGTACTGTATATATCTAAACTTAAAATTATATAACCGTCCAAAGTTATAAATTGTAAACAATATTTTTGATTGTATATTTTTGTTTAAACGTGGGGACAGGTGTAGTGGCTAACAAACTTATAATAGTAGTTTAGTCTAGTTAATAATTTGTAAGATATCTTTTTTATGATTTGCCAACTAATAATACAAACAAAAACTGTTACGTCTACTTATTATATATAGTCGACTCATAAATATGAAGAAAAAAAATAGTCAACTAATCTCTTGTAGAAACCAGTTTATGACTCTCCTACAGAAAATTCTATAAATACCCACTAAAACCCCATAGTTTATCTCCACCCATCTCAAAGAACATAAACACTTCTGAGCTTTTGTTTCAGAGTTTTTCTGGTACACAAACAAATGGCTTCAAGAACCTCTCTTGCACTCTTCCTTTTCCTTAACCTCCTCTTCTTCACTTACACTTCTGCTCAAGGCACTTGTCCTAGAGATACCCTTCAGATCGGTGCTTGCACTAATGTGCTCTTGAGTACAATTAGCTTAACATTGGGAAACCAAACGCCTGCACCAATACCGCCATGCTGTTCGCTCATTGCAGGCTTGATTGACGCTGAGGCTGCAGTCTGTCTCTGTACCGCGCTCGATGTTAACATTCTTGGTGCCATCAGCATTCACCTTCCCATCAATCTCAGTGTACTCTTCAATGCTTGTAGCAGATTTGCTGCACCAAGTTTCCAATGCCCCTAAGTTGAATACGTATGACATACATACCGAAAAAATAAAGGTTGAACGTGTTGCCTATCGTCTTTTGTTTTTTTTAACTTGTGATTTTCTTTTGTATTTGCAATTTCCTTTCATTGAATAAAATAATGAGTGTAACGTTATCATGCAACAATGGGGTTTGTGTGTGTAATAGGCACGTTTGTTCCCCTTTTACATACTTGTTCCTCCTTATCTTCATTTTCAAATGTCTTTTGAATTTGATTAATAAAAGCTTCAATCGGTGTTTTTGTTTATATCGTGGCGGGCTTATATGTTTATCAAAAAAAGCAAAGGTAAAATGATGATATGATCTCACTGATACCAACACGTTTTCTTTATTTGTTGTAAGCATTAACTAATGGCATGTGCTTAACAAGTATCAGCTGGGATCGCACATTGTAAACTAGAATAGAAGAACCAAAAGTAATATCTGAGTGAGTTGACCAATACATTCGATTCCAATTTGATTTGTAACACATTAATTACAAAATAAAGCATATTTTAGTTTAACTATGAATTAAACTAACACACCCAATGATTTTCTGGCATGACAAGTAAACAGACCAACTCAACATATAACCTACATATCAGTTTTTTCTTAAAAACACCTGAATTCCAATAAAGTTGAGTAAAAGCCAGTGAAAACAATAAAGTTGAGTTTCAATTAAATCCTACAAGGTTTGATGATTTTGACTTAACTTGAAAAGAACATGAGCTACATCACTGTTATAAAGTAAATCACTACAGATAAATGAGAAGGGTAGTAATGGACTAAACAGGAATTACTTGAACTTGGATTTTGCACTAGCTTTTGATCTGCGCATTCTGTACAGATGTATGTTATGTATTAGCGGTAAAAAAAATCATATTTATGTTTTATAGGTTATTGAGTTTTGATGTTGGTGTATCTTGTTTATTTTGTTTAATCTCATTGTCTAACTATTAAATTGTATATTTTTTTATATTATACCTTTTTTACTTGGTAAATTAAATAATTAAGTGTAAAATATTAGAGTATATTGTTTAGATTTTGTGTTTTATTAAATTATACTATAAATTTGTGACTGAAATATAATTTAAAATTAGTTTTTATAGATCTTTAAAAAAAAATTAGTTAGACAACAACAATTAAAAAAGATTCATACGAAAATAAGAGTTTTAACAATTTTATTAACAAACATCATTTTTAAATTGAATTCGACAATTTGATTTGGACAATTGAATTTTGTTTTAAAATCAATGGACCTTAAACTTATGTAAGCCTATATAAATAGCAAAATTACATTATTTTAAATGTAGTAACATTTCATTATATTTTTTGAAGAAAATTAAGGTATATTTAGTTTTTGTAGTTCTCCTTTAATAGTTTAAATATATAATAATTTGATTATATATTAGTCGATAAATATATAAAGATTGATTGCCTCCCCATCATTAAGATAGCCTTTCTTTTTCCTCTTTTATTTATTGGATTTTTTTTAAAAGAACGAATCAATCAAACTCAAACCGAAATATACATATAAAGTAACCGACTATATTTTAATTTAAACCAAGAAAACAGAACAGTGTTTGGTTTGGTTAACCTATCCCTTAAATCTTCTTCCGTTTCATCGTTTTGGCAGTGCCGCTTTTCTCTGCTTTGTACTTGCATATTTAGATCCTTTCCGTATCTAAGATTAGTTTCATGTCAGAACTATAGAAACCAGAGTTTGTGTTTTGTCTGAAAAAAAAAAAAGCCATGGCGGAAAAAAACGAGGGAGAACCAAGAACGACAAGAGATAGTATTTACAGAGCTGCAAGAAGTATAAAAAGAAGAGACAACAGTCTCTACAACGCTCTTAGATCAATCTACCAAGACTCTCTCTTCGTAGACGAGATCTCTAACCTATGGCCAAAACTTCCTCTCGTAGCTAACCTTCGCTGTGGTCTCTGGTACTCTCCAAGATTCGATGCAACATGTTACTTCAAATCCACTGATGGTCATACCAACAACTTGTCTTTCAACACTTCTCGTCTCAATCTCCATCTTCCTGTTCTCGCTGGTATGCTTTGAATTACATAATCTTAAAGCATCAATAAACATATCTTTATATGCCTTTGTTGTTTTCTTGAATGGATAGGAGAGAAAGGAGGTTGTATCATTATTGATTCAACTCGTAAGGGAAAGAAGTTTCCAGATAGCATGTCCAAAACAATACCAATATGGTGTTGTGTATTGAACCGCTCAATCTATAATCACTTGAAGAGATTATGTAACACTTATGATGCAGTGAGTTACATGCATTATTGTATTTACCAATGTTGAAAAAATCGCTAGGCAATAGTTAGGGGCTTATATGGGATTATTGTTTAGGTGGACGCCTAGACCGATTTTTTAGAACACTATTTATAAACTTTTCTTCTTTGTTCTTGAATAGGGTGTCACAAGTGATGATGATGATGATAGCAGCATAAGACAATTGTTAGATAAATGGGATTGTAATTTACATATGCCACTATGGGTTTCCAAGACTGAGAAGGCCTGTATTGAAGCTAGGCTAGATGAGTGGACTAGAGAGTTAGAGGAGAGTGGAGCTGATATAGCTTCAGTAGCTACATGCTTGAGGAAGCCTTTACGTCCTCTTTGGGTTTCACAGAAGACAGTCATATGGTTAAATGAAGTACCTGATCATGAGTCATGGGACTTCACTCCTCTCATCCTTGTCTCAGCTTCTGATTCTGGTGAAGTTCAGCAAAACAGAACCAACTCAGAGTTTAGCTGGAGTTATATCCCTGGGGCTGGTGATGATGAAGAGAGTTGGGCAAGAGGTTTGTCTCCTACTGTTTTCTGGAGTCATGTTGATGATCTTATTGACTCTGGACCTGAGGTTTGTAACCAGAAAGTAGCAGAGATTGTTGAGAGTGATAGAGTGTATAGAGCTCAGAGGGGTCAGGAAGCTCCTCAGATTGTTGTCAAAAGCTCAAAAGGTTGTGGTGGAGTCAAAAGTGATGAAACCTTATCTCTTAATGTACCTAAACCTAATGTTGATGAAGAAAGCTTAGTATCTTGGTTAGCATCAACTAATCTTGCTCTTGGGTCATCACAAGTAGGTGAGTTTATTTTCTAAACTTACATAAAATATATTAACTCCTGCTTCTGCATTAACTATATAAGCTTATGTGGTGCAGCTAGTAAGGTGTTTTCTATTGACTGCTGCATATTAAACTGCGATAAGAATCCAGTCTCAGTCCCTCCATCACATCTTGAAGAGTATTTGCATCTACCTATGATGGTATACTTCTAAGAAAAACCAAACTCTACACATTTTCTTCAATCCTTCAAAACAAATAATCATTAGAAGGAGTGTATGTTTCCTCCAGGGTTCAAAGTTTGATAGATTTTCGATATTAAAGAACCTTCCTACCGCGGTTAACTTTGCTAAGATGAAGGTGAGTATGGGGAAGAAGCTATTTGTTTGTTGTCAAGACGGTAAGTTTGTTTGTATTCTTGGAATGTTGCAAGTTCAAACATGATTGTTATGTTATGTTTGTAACTAATAATAATGTTGGTCTTGTGGTGTGATAGGGGAAGATATCAGTGTATGTGTATGTTTGGCCATCTTAATATCATTATTCAATGAAGAAGGTAAATGACATAAGCTTGAAGTTTTTTGGTTTATAATGTTTATCATGATGCTGAGAAGTATGAATCATTTACAGGAACTTATGATGGTGGAAGATCTTTTGAAGAAAAGAGTATTACAAAACTTGAAATGCGACGGATGCTTATATTTATATGCAAATACGCTGTAAATGCTCGGCCATCTAGAGGGAATCTAAGGCAAGTTTTTGGTTTCCTTTCATCGCAACACGAAAACTCAGATGAATGAAGTAGGAACGCGCCTTCTTCATGTGTGTTCCTCATGGTTCATATTGCAGAAAGAAACAGAAGTTTTGTAATCTTTTAGTTCTATTAGGTACTTCTTTGCACAGACTATTATGTGATGAGAGCTTTGTAATTTTCCAACAGTGTGATGTTTTGTAATGTTTCTTGCTATATGCATAATAATTGTTACATTAATCATGTATGCGTTCATATATCATTATAAACCGGTCTACTACACATGTACACAGAAGCAAGCAGTCATGTAAGATCTATCAAGCCTGGTTTGCAAAAATTAGATATACGTGCAAAAACAAAGTTGAATCAAATAATGAAATAGTTTTGACAACATCTCACGGCATCCTTAGAAACCTTACTAGGTCATAAGAAGAAGACTAGTGAGAAAGCCAAGCTTCGGAAACCAACACTAGGAGTCTTGGATTGTACAATCGTTTTCTTGCAAAGCAAGTAAAGAAAACAAACTAAGATGATTTCTAGGTCATAACTACCAAACAGAGCACATAAACAAACAAAATTAATCGGAAGTAAACATGACTTGAGCCGCAAGTCCTCATACATCATCTTGAGCTTGAGTGGCGTCCCCTTCCACATCAAGTATTCCATTAGTCTGAGTGACGTCATCTTCACGATTCAAGAGTTCATCCACGTCAAGCATCAAATCCTCAGCGCCATCAAAACCAAAGTTATCCAACTGATGTTGTTCTTGCCCTTGGTTCAGCCGCTTCATCATGATGTTGTCGTCGTCGCTCTTCAGCCGCTTCATCCACGTTAAGGTTTTTCTTTGAACTATCTATTTGTGTTGGTTGAGAAATCTGAAATATTAAGCAGTGATGTTTTTATATGAAATTGATAACTGAGCGGATTCTAAGTTCTAACTTGAGTGGGAATTGTTTACTATTTCCTTTTTTAACGATCATGTTTAATTTCCTTTTTTTGTTGTTGTTATTTTACTGATTTTCTTTATTATCTCTTAAAATTTTATATATTTTATTTTTAGTTGGTGAAAGATTTTCATTACAGAACATGAAACGTGGTCACTATCTTATTGCACACGGAACAATTGTGTGGAAGTCGTGAAGAATTGATAACAAAACTTCAAGGCTTGAACCGCTGAGAAAGAAAATGAAACTGACACATATGGCCATGTAGCTTGAACACCTTTTAATTATTAGAAGAAAGGGTAGGCCAAAAAATTCATGAGAGGAAGTGACACACCATTGAAACAGAGAATGTGGAGTTTCGTAGTGGGTTTCAATATTGTAATGTTAATTAATTATAGATCAGAGCATTGAAGAAATGAGAACAAAATAACAGATGAGAAAAATTGAAAGTATTAATCCGTTGAAGCGAAACAGAGAGCACACAGGTTTAAAAGTATAAAAAGTCAAAGCACCAGCTACAAAAACAAAAACAGCTTGAGATTCACATGGTTGTAGTAACCTGAACCAAACATTAAGCAAACAAAAGAAAAAGCTTCAAAAGCTGAAATTAGGCTTTAGGCACGCGGTGCAGCTCCAGCTCCAGCTGCAGCAGGACGAGGAGCCTGACCAGGTTGTCCAGGCTTGGGAGCATCCTCCTGATACAATAAAAAATTTCGAAAAACAAAATAGTAAATAAAAAATTCTTACAACAATTCATTCATTAATTCAAACAATGACAAAAGATAGAACTAAAGTATAACTGTCTTATTGAGTGAAAGTACTGTTGTTAAGGATCCACACCAAAAGTTTATTTCTTAAAGCCAGTAAATATAATTGTGAAACAATTTAACTATAACAGGAAACTTAAGATAATCAAACCCACATTTATTACAAGATTCAACTATGGGTTTTGTACAAGTCAATCGAACTAGCTTTTTACTTCTAACTTTAGTGGCATACTTAAACCCACATCGAAAGTTAACTTCTTTAAGCCAATAAAAAGACTATTATGAACTTAACTATAAAAACAAGAAATTTGGTTATTGCAAGACTCAACTAGCTTTACTTTTTAGCTATTTTAATATTTCAGAGAAACAAAACAATGAGATATGTGGTCCTAAACTAAGGAAGAGGAAGGGAATCATGGATTACCTTGCGTCTGACGAAACGTGGAGGGGGAGTACGAACCCTACGGTTGGTGCGGGAACGGACTCTAACAACGTGAGAGTGGATAGCACACGAGACACAGTATTGCGTCTTCGCATACAGTTTCGGCAATGTGTATCCTACACATTCCAATTACAACACCAACAATTCAATGCACACATTCCATATATTCCAAACATTTTTAAATAAAATTTAACATCAAATGAACTAAAAAAAGATTACCATCGTAGACACTAGCTTCTTGGACATCTCTAATAGCAGCTTGCTCCACAATGTTCCTCACAATGAACCTCTTTATGGCCTTGTCCTGATCCATTCCCCACAACAAATCAAAACCAAACTCTACAATAACGTTGTAATAAAAAAAAAGCGATTGAGAGGCTTAGTTAGATCGTACCTTTGGGCAACATTTGCCACAGTTGGAGCATCTGATTGGTTTCACGTGGCCACGGTTATGCTTGTTCCTCCCTCCGTTCCTACGCTTGAAAGTCTGCAACAATAATTATTGAGCTACTTTGATTTTTTGCATCTAATCTAATAAGCGAAAAGAAAGAGAGAGAGAGTATCAAAGAAGATGAATATACCATCTTCTTTGAGATGCGACTGCGACTAAGATCCCTCTTCTCGTCGTGAGCTGAAAAGCTGCTGCTGCTGTTGCTAGGGTTACTCTCTACTCCACGGCGAGTGGTTTACAGTGAAGATGATTTTATTGCTTAGTTTTAGGGCTTTGAGAGATACTGGGCTTGGGCTTTCTTCTCTTTTAGTTTCTGCTTGGGCTTTAATGGTGTTAGGAGTTTTCAAGGCTCCTAGTCAAATGTTGTATAGTGAAGTAAGTTGTCGAACCAATTCTGAGGGAAGTAAAAGCGATGAGAATGCAAGTACTAACTTAATCTAAGTGCAATCGAATGTTTGGTTGGTTTTAAAGTGAACTAAAACTAAAATGTAAATAAACGATATGACTTTAACTATGAAGGTAAATGA